TCTAAAGGGCAGCTTGCCGTACGATGGGAACAAGAGTGGGACCACGAACCGAGTTAGGGCAAGTTAATTACGAAACCCTGTACGATCGTCCTAGAGATTTAGATCTTTGCAGGTGTGTCGAAGGAGAAACCCTGAGTACTACTTCTGCGGAAAGTAATGGATTGTTGGCCCACATGCCCCCCCTCAAAGACCACAGTCGCGGACATTCTCTGATGAAACAGTTGGTGCAGTCACCCTTCTTTTCGTGGAGTTGTGTCTAGAGTACGGCGGTACGCAAGAGACATGCGTTCTTGGAACGTGGTATGGTCAGTACCGGTGGGGGTGGGCATTCAAGGCCCGTGCACTGGCTCTCGAGTCGGACACGCCCTTGGCAACCGAAAAAAGTGTAGTGACCCCTTTGTGCAGCAGAAAGTGTGAAAAATGCGGTAAATGCCAAATTCCCATCATTGTTCCAGCCAAGGCTGCGTGAGGATGTCGAGTCCCGATAATGTCCCTGCCGATTGTTCTCACTGTGGCTGCCCAAACCTGGTCCAGTGCAGCTTTGTGTTGTGCTTAACATGCAAGTCGCCCTAGTCCTTTTCATCCAAGGAACGTTCATGAGGTGTTTGATCTTGCACTGACACTGCCCTGGAACAAGTGATCAAACCGGCACATTTTTCTATTTGTGGAGCACGGATCCAAGAAGATATGGGCCTACCGGTAGCAGCAGGAAGCAACAGGGTGCGTTCTTTTGCGCACGTATATTTTTGGCATATATTTTTGGCCATTTTTTTCCTTCCCTCCCCCCCCMCCCCCGCCCGCGCCCCCCGGGCGAATAAAAGCTGGAAACTGGGTCCAGCGTCCAGAACATGGAGGACTCACTCAATGCATCCTTCCATTATGGCTGAAGGATCCTGAGACAGTGGCATTGATTGCTTCCTTCCCAGGGAAGGATTTAAGATTGCTCTGCCCCTGTGCAAAGCGCAAGGCATCGGTAAGGCCTACTGGGCCCTGTTATCAGGTCGGCCACCCCAGGACGAGAGGCCTATTTTTGGACTACCACGCAACTGGGGAAATTCAGGCAATTGCGCAGCGCCAGTTGGTTGAGAGCGCCCTGGCCCTGGCTGCCTTTATCAAATGTAACTGAGGCAGGCCCTGGGCCAGATATTCAAAGTGGGCCGAACACAGGCTGCGGGCAGTTGAACACGCGTAACCGCTCTAGGCCCTGGGCCTGACTCCCTGGACCAGGGCTCAGCCACTTGGGGCCTACCGGAAGCTTCTGGGCAGAGGCCCAGCGCAGCCAGGCCACACGCAGCAGGCAGGCCGCTTCCATATAGGAAAGTACCTGCCCTCACATTTGGCATTCGGGCACTTGCTACATGCTGGCACTTGCTACATGCTGCGCAAGCGCTGCTGCGCTACTGGCTGGCAAGCGCCCACGCGCTCACGGGCGAGCAAGGGATGTGCAGGCAGCCATAGCCGATCTGGCCTGCGAGGTGCTGGATGGGGCGCATGGTGGTCCTTGGGTGCACATGGCATCTGTAAGTGGGGGATCGAGGTTGTGAGTGATGCAAGAGATACCTGGTGCTTGAGGCAAACGGCATTGGCCGAGATCTGCTTGTACTTCGGGGAGCTGTTGACGTCACCAGCAGCATTGTAGATAGGCTAGATAGGATCTGCCATTTGTAGTCTGGGCGCAGGGCGCCAGATAGGAGATCGACATTGGTTCTTTGTTGATGATGACTAGACTATTCCAGCCATTGGCATGGATTGCTCACTGTGAAGGGAAGGATTAGGTCACCAATTTTTCAGCGTCCACAAGTATTCCTCCCTGCAACCATACGGAGCAGGCTACCCGACGGACGTACCCTGCGGCAAACTGGAGGTGCCTGTCAAGGTGTTTGGAATGTGGTCGGTGATGTGGGGGTTTAACATGTAAGCTACCCCCTTCTCCTGGTCATATAGGGCATACCCACGCCAAGACTGAACTTGACCTTAGGTGTGACTGCATACAGTGTGGAAGTAGTTCAACGTTGAAGCGGCTACCGTCTTCCCCCGAACACAACGCACCCTTATTTTGGCTGTATCTGGCCGGAAATATAGTTTGTGTACATTCATTTTTAGGGTGCGTTATGTTCGAGGGAAGACGGTAGTTTTTTGTACGATTTGAGTGACATGGAAATGATTCTAGGATCATGTTGCAGATCACGATGCAAGACAAGTGCATGATTGTCAACATGGAGATGAAAAGAGAGAGAGAGAGAGAGAGAGAGAGAGAGAGAGAGAGGGGGGGGGGGGGGGGGGGGGGGTTGCAAATGAGGGTGTTGGGGGGCGGTTTGGGGGTGTTGGGCTGATGTATGAGGGTATTTGGGGCGGGTATGGGGGTGTTGGTGGGGTTATTAGGGTTTTTTTGAGGGGTGCCGACGACCTCCGACCGGTAGGTGCCGACCAGCCGACCGGTAGGTGCCGACCAGCCGACCGCTCGGCGGTTCGGCAGCCAACCAGTCAAGGGTTGCCGATGGTCAGGGTGTGCAACACTGATAGAGTGGTTATATATTGTTGTGAAACTCTTTCTGCAACGTTTCTGATGTGTTTGCCATGTTTACTGGATTTCTCACAGGAGCGTGCACAATGTTTCCGTTGTGTCTAGGTCAGACCACAACAATCTGCCGTCGGGCACAATGCACTGGAAATTTGTCTTGTATACAATTGTAGTCGGGGTGTGTTATGTTTGGGGGAGGAAGGTGGTTTCCACTGTTCAATGGAAAGGGTTGAGCAGGTTTCCATAGTGTCCCAGTTTCCGCAGTATTGTCACTGTCTTCATGATTGCGGTCACCACTGAGTGTTGGAAGCCACTGTTTCAGGTGTCACTGTTGTTGCGAGCCCAAGTGCTACCATCTTAACCTGAATACAACCTACTGTCCTAGTCCCACAGAAGATTGAAACATGTATGCTCGTACATGAAGTGCGGCGTCCATCGATGCAGTTCAGCTCAAATTCATGCGATCAGAAGATCAAGACATTGAGAGGGGTATGGAATTGACAATGGATGTAAACACGCGTTTTTAATGCCCGCTTTTCACCACCTTTGGTGCACTTCTTAGAGGCGAGTGCTCCTTCAGCGGCCATTTTATAAATGATTGAAGTCCATGCATCCAAGTACCACGGACTCGAGTCTGCTAGCCAATGAACATGCGTCCAAGTTCAATTGTTTGAGTAATGGTTGTCCAGAGTCCAAATCACCTTGCACTGACTGCAATAGCCCTTCCCTTATAGTGTCCTGTGTACTCCATTCTGAGGCCTTCTTGATATCCCTTTGTGCACACGTTAGTTATATCCTGTGAAGGTCATACGCCTAATCGGTACCAGTGCTGCTGCTTTTGCATGTATGCTCCTGCCTGCATTTTCAAGTGTGATAACTCTGCTGCTGCTTTTGCATGCATGCCTCTGCCAGGTTATCATATTTCAAAATGCAGGCAGGGGCATGCTGCTTTTGCATGGATGCCCCTGCTCGGTAAGCATACCCTCACTTCTCCGCTTAAGTTTGCATGCATGCCCCTGCCTGCATTTTCAAGTATGTATGCTTGGATGTGAATCCTCTGCATTCTGGTAACTCTGGTTTTGCATGAATGCCCCTGCCCGGTAAGCATACCCTCGCTTCTCCGCTTAAGTTNGGGGAGGGGGAGGAGGAGTCCAAGAACGCTCACTTTGTGAGGAATAGTCCAAAAACACTCGCTTTGCCATCTCACCTCATCTCGCCACCATACCATCACCCCATCATATCTCATCGTCCTCTCATGTTGCGTAAAAATAACAAAAGACTCTAGGAATTGCAGCATCATGAATCAGTGTCCGATGGACCTCCCGAGCAAATATTTTCAAAAGTCATGGGCCTCTGCTACCGTCTTCACCCGAACATAACGCCCTATCATTATAGCTGTATTTGGGGTACTTTTCGGTCCAGGTGCGGCGATCATGACCAGGCGTTCTATTCGGGTGAAGACGGTAGTCGTCCTCTTCTAGAGGCCCTACTGCGTGAAGCAAGGCATCGACATCCCTCAAGTGTGATGTACAGGAGACAACACATGAGAATTCCCCCGCCCCTGACGTTAAAGAGCATCACCATGTTCTAGTGTCAAGATGGACACAAATGAACTCTCAAAGGGTCTTATCGAAGTAGTGCTACCTCCTCACAGTTTCTCACGGGAGTCCACAACAGCCATAATTAAGTCTTCACCCCGGTTCCCCACCTCTAGGCTCTCCACATTCGCTAGGTGCCTCTTTCCTCCTCCTGTACGTGCCCAACACAGACATTAATGCCCATCTCCATAACCATACCTCCTTCGTTAACCAACTTAACCCACTACTTACCTCAATAGCCATGAACGTCTCCGTCGCCGTCATTCGCCGTCATCTCTTGAGCTTAGCCTTCCCTCCCCAGCTGTGCCAGTGTTCACTTCCAGGGTGGTGCAAGGTAACGACAACTTCTTGGGAATGGAGGGAGTCGACCGTCGTCTTTCATTGTGTACTTGGCTGTACTGGTTGGTGCATCTGAGCCCTACCCACCGTGACTTGGGCCCACAGGCTCCTGAAAAGGGAGGGGAACATGATGGCAGGTTGCAATCTTACCCGGTACCGGAAGTACCTACCTTGTTATCAGCCCAGATTCGGTCTGGTATCGTCATCAACTCTGCTCCTAAAGCCTATCAGACTTGGAACCTGCCTGAGTTCCAAGAAACTTCCTCCGGTACCTGTTCCTCTATCCGCTAAACCTCACTTTCCTCGCTATGGCACAGTTGAGTGCCTGTGAATCAAATGGATATGATTGAAATGATGGCCAGGTTCAAGCGCAATGCATTTATAGGTCGGCGTGGCTGGATCCCGAGGCAGTTGTGCGCCCCTCCGAGTTTGCCGTGTGCCTGCCATCGCAAATGAAAGTTTGATTATACGACCCACCGCTCAACTTCTTGTTGGCTGGTGGTCAATTCGTTGGTTGTGATGGCATTTACGTGTCTATGCAGGTGCTCGTTCCCATTGCGAACGGCTCGGAGGAGATGGAAGCAGTGATCATCATCGACGTGTTGAGGCGTGGCGGCGCTAATGTCATTGTCGCTTCCGTGGAAGACCAACTCCAGATATCGGCGTCACGAGGGGTGAAGATTGTTGCTGACTGCCTGATTTCTAAGTGTGCAAACAGTGTCTTCGATCTCATCGTTTTGCCGGTAAGCGTTCCCTCACTGTGTTCTTTCCTTTGTCTATTTGATTTCTGTTTTTCGGAACTGGGTCCGTTGTTTCCGTGCCTTTTTTTTTTTTTTTTGTCTTTACAAGGGTAGTGGTATGTCCGGCCTTTTCCCGATTGCATGGCAAGCAGGCATGATAGAGCGCCGCTGTTGGTTTGCGTGCCGTCTTACATCAGTGCTATCATTCTTTGTCCTTTGGTTAATCTTGGTGTTTCTATTTTCGGGGGTACTCGACTGATGTCTCTTGTACTTTGGGTTACTTCTGCTTTGATGTTTTTCTTGCACTTGGAAGGTCTCTTTGTTGGTACCTAGATTTTTTGAAGGTTCTCTTACTCTTGCACTTCAGGTACTCTTGCACTGTACTTCAGGGGCCCATCAGCAAATAGGATTCGATTTAGCTCCTGAATCTGGATGTGTTTCCAGCCGAGATGCAGAAAAGCAGTTGAGTTTCATTTTTTTGCGCCTTTGCACAAACACGTCCCGATTCTGGTATTCAATTCGATCCTCCTTGCTAGTGGGACCTCGTCCCGGGGCCTCTTCGTTGTGTCGCAAATGAAACTTCTATGATAGTTCTTACAACTGGCTGTGCTCAATGATTGCCATCTGTCCGCTTGTTTTCAAGTCTGCAGACGCTCCATCTCCTTTTCTTTTCCCTTTTGGAACTTTTTTTTTTTTAAATTTATGTGTGTCATCCTTGCAACTGCGGGGGCCATGCATGCTAATCTTCCGTGTATCGTTCCAATTTTAACGCGTGTCCTGAAGGTCACGCTGCATCTCCTCTAATTTTGCGGATCGCCACAACATATGCGAGGGAATGAATCGGTATTGCCGGGACTATAGTACCGCGGGATGAACACTGTGTTTCGTGCCATGGAGAATGAGCACTATTAAAAAAAACAGAGTAATATTAGTAGGTACCGCTGTGAAATGTTATCATTCAATCGCGACCAGTGCAGATTCTTTGTTTTTATTTTTATTTTTTATAGCCAGTGCACAGATTGTACTCAATTTTAGAAACTTATATTTAGATAGATCACGGTCTTCCATCAAGATATCCAGACGGATCCAGCACCATGATAGCTGATGTATTTACTATTTAGGAATTATTCATATGTCTCGATTCTCTCGAACATGGAAGTCCAGTGTCTCTTTGACCCTTTTTTTTGTTCTTGAGAAAAAGGAGAAAAAGGAAGAGTAGGAAAACTTCAATTGGGGGAAAAGCAAATGGCGCTGGAGGGGTAGATTCGCAATGCTATAGTTATTTAGAGCTTTTGCTTGCGATGGTTCGCTCGAATACGTTGTGGCGATCCGCAAAATTAGAGGAGATTGCGCCTCAACATATTCGAGGGAATGAATCGTTATAGCCTTAGGAGTAGGTAGGTACTTTCAAGTTTATAGCCTTAGGAGTAGGTAGGTACTTTGAAGTTTAAAGCACCAGTACATGGCCCCAGCCGCGTTCAGAGTCCGATTGCGCCTCTCCGGAAATTTAGGAGGGTCGCACACCGTCGATAAAACGGGAATATACGTCACACCGCTTTTATCGGGGGGTCCCGAGGAGGCTCGGGCAAAAGAAAGTGTTTGGACCTTGCGGGCCTGTACAGCCAAAAAAAAAAGAACAAACAAGCCACAGTGGGGAAAGGAAGGATGTCGGGGAAGGCCGTGAAGGTGGTGTGCTGACGTCAATGCTTGAAGGAACGCATCTATCGAGAATAACAGCTAGTTCCCTTCTCTTTTTTTTTTTTTTTTTTTTTTTTTTTCCCTTTTGATGTCGTTTCTAGTGCCCTCCCGACCAGGTAGGGCGGAATCCACGCACGGCTGACACGTCGCAACGAAGGGGGTACTCTCACATGTACTCATGATTCTGTATCCAGTTGTTTTCACGTCACTAGAGATTGTTTTTTTTTTCCCTTTTTTCTGTCCTCCTGTAAAGGCCCATTGGAGGGCATACTCTCACAAATGCCCGCAATTCCGTATTCAGCTGCTTTCACGTCCAAAGAGCTTTTTTCCTTTTTTTTTTGGTTCTTTGTTGATCCTGGACGCGCTGCCCTTATTACGGGAGGGCTGTAATGCCTGTTGCTAGGGCACACTCTCATTTGCACCCCGGATTCTGTATCTAGCTGCCTTCGCATCGCTAGTGTTGCTGCTTTTTTTTTCTTTTTTTTTTCATCTTTTTTTTTTTTTTTTTTTCATTTCCGTAATGTACCAGAAAAGAAAGCACCATGGGACCCAGGCTCGGCAAAACTCGGTGCGCAGTGAAATTCAGGGTCGGTAAAAACAGGATCGGATGTAGTGGTGGTTTAAAGTGAAAGAATTTGAGAGAAGAATGCAGTGTACCTAAAAAAAAAAACAAAAAAAAACACCACTTGCTTCAAAGTTAAAACTTAAAATGACTTTTTGTGAAACTTTTTTCTCTCTGTCTCTTGATACAGCACTTGCTTAAAAGTTAAAACACTTTTCCCCCCTCCTCTCCTAAAACGCCACTTGGTTTGGATTAGATCCCGATGTTCAGATATTCTCCGCGTGGCACAGATTCTGGCCGTCTATAAGACCATAACGGTAAAAGGATTTTTTTTTATTTTTTATTTTTTAATTTCTCAACTTTTTTGTGTGTCCAGTGTCCACTAAGGAAAATGAGGATGTAATCCATTTTTTACGGCCGCGTTTTGGCTGTCTTTTTCATACCTGCAGGCTGCTGCAGCTTTTATCTACTCAAAACATAGTATAAATTTATAAAATTACTATAAATATTAAATATTGAATTCCAACATACTAATATTGTTATTATCACTACTTCCTCTTTTTTGCTCCTTTCGTTTTTTTTCAACCTGCTGGCTGTGGCTTTTTTTAATCTAATCCAATCCAACCGAAGCTCCACTCTCTGTCTGATACACAATCATCAGCCAAATATGGGATTTAACTCAGAATAGCATTTTTCTGCGTCTGTAATTATGGGCATTGTAGTGTGTTAGTCCAAGTGTGTGTGTGTGTGTGTGAGTGTGTGTGTCTGTCTGTGTTGTCATATTCGCTATCCACCACTCCACATACGAATGCATGACTGTGCCAGAGTGTTTCATCGGAGTTTCACCGACTCAGTCAGAAGGTTGAACCTGGACAGACAGTCTGCCCAGGATGAATTTGGCTGATGTGTGTGTGTGTGTGTGTGTGTGTGTGTGTGTGTGTGTGTGTGTGCCCTAAGTTTGCATAGGCAACAGCTTTGTGAGACCTCCAGGGTTTTTGTATCTGTGACTGTGTGCGGTCTCTGCGTTGGAAAATACAGTGGAGTTGCAAAAAGCTTCATTCTACCTGCTTGGAGTGAGACCTCCAGGTTTTTTGTATCTGTGACTCTGTGCTATGTCCTCACTCCTTCTGGTAGTGTGAGTTTGCCCTACTTCACACTCTTGGGTTGTGAAGTCAAAAACGGGACAAAAAGGGAAGTAGGCGACTACAGAGAAGGCGGTGTATTTCAAAGTAGTTTTTAAAGTTTAAGACCACTCCCCCCCCTTCCCCTCCCCCTAATTTGGACCGTTTCTTGATTTATGCGTGCCATCGTTGCACAGGGGCCATGCTAATCTTCTTTCTCTGAATGCATCGTTCCAATTCTAACGGGTGTCCCGCAAGAACCATTATCAGTTACGGTTCTTGTGGAAAGATGTGTGTGCATGCGGCCACCAAATGCATGTAATGCAATGACTATATCGCTGGGATTGTTTTGTACTTTTAAGCTTTAAAGATTTAAATTCATTATGATTATATTATCCAGATAAAGGGCCTTATTTTTCCGGCAGGGGGCTTGGGTTTTTTATCTTTACTGTCGGGGACTACCGTCCTCCCCTGCATAGAATGGACCGTTGTTTTTTTTTGTTTNCCTTTTTTGTTTAGAACGCACCATTGTTGGAGCAGTGTTTGGTCAAAATTTCAGGCCAGATACGGCATTAATGACTGCGTGTTCTTTTCATGGGATGATCACAGCTCTGCCGTCGGTATACGCTTGGCAGCGCAGGTCTGGATGTAGTGGTGGTTTCAACGGTAAAGGTTAAGATCGCCACCAGCTTCCAAGTTCTTTGGTACTGACTGTGTTGTGATCCCTGCGCGCAGCGGCGTTATAGTTTTTTACACCGTCGTACCAATCTGCATTGCATTCAATATATATCATACAATTTTTTTTTATTTTTTTTTTTTTTTGGGAATATATATCATACAATATTCCGCCATGGCCACTGTACCGTCTTCCCTGGATAGAATGTATGGTCAGTATCACTGTATCTGGAATGAAAGTTGCCCTAAATACAGACTATAATGACCGTACGTTTCCGTTGGGGGCAAATGGTTGGTCGAGAAGTCAGATTGAATAGTGCTGCTAAGGCTGTAAAAGTCTGTGGTGACTCACCTAAGTACCTGGCTATTCTTCGTAGTGTTTTTTTTTTTTTTTTCGCGGCGCCTTGTTGGCTTGTGCAAGTGTTACACTTGAGGGGCAATATGTTTCTTTTTTTTTTTTTTTTTTTTTTTTTTTTTTGCGGCGTCTTGTTGGCTTGTGCAAGGGTTACGCTTGGGGGGGTAATAGGTTTCTTTTTGTTTTTTTCCGAGGCGCCTTGTTGGCTTGTGCTAGGGTTCACGCTTGGAGGGGCGATTGATTTCTTTTTGTTTTTTTTTTCCTGCGGCGCCTTGTTGGCTTGTGCAAGGGCTACGGTCGGGGGGGCAATTGGTTTCTTTCAAATTCTGTGTGTTTTTCTCGATATGCCATAGGGTTTTTTTACTGCTACCGTGGGAGGTGTACTAGATTATAGATTCGTGTTCCTCTTGTTTTCTCTCTTTTCTTTGAGAGCATCCAAGGGTGATATCAATTTGCGGGAGATAATGAATGCTGATTGTAGCATCGTGCTACCGATGACGTATCTGTCCTCCATGCATGAGTAGATTCAGCTTGTGATCTCCGGGGAAGTATAGGTAGTCTTCAGGCATTTGGACTGGGGTCTAGGTGCAGAACCTGGGTATGAGGACCTGTCCTGAGCTGTCCGGATGACACACAAGCACAACATCCCTGTGTGCCATATCAACCCTCGACCAAATGACGCACAAGCACAACAGGGGCACAATATGTGCTGCCCCTCCAAGCATAACCCTTGCACAAGCCAGCAAGGCACCACAAAAAACAAAAGGGTACTACTACCTATTGCCCCCTCAACCGTAACCCTTGCACAAGCCAACAATTCATTAAAGTTCGTTTTCGTTTGAAGTTGGTTTTCATTTTTCAGACACTCGAAAGTCGAAAAAAATGTCGTGCTGCACTGCAATACGAAGAACTTGTGCCCGAGGGTCGTTTCGAAATCTAAGAAAAGGATCGAACCGGACTTAAAAACTTAAAAAGTAGTGTCTTAGGGTACATGTCCTGGTATGAGGGGATGATGAAACATAGAGACCATCAAATTCAGAATGTGGAAGAAAGAAAAGAAAAAAAAAGAAAAAAAAAAAAGAAAAAGGGTACATGTCCTGGTCTTAGATCAGATCTGGACGTCTGGAGGTCTGACCGAACCCATGTCCTCGTGTTCTTTTTTCTCTCGATGCGTCTGGTGTCTGGGTCGATGTTTGCCATCAGCGGGACATTTTGAGCCCTCGCTGCACGGCACACGAACCGAAAAACGAAACGAGTGCAAGAATGATTCGTCCGTTTACCACAAGCGGCAACAAATGTATTTTGCGGGGAATTTTTGCCACCTTTTATGGGCGGATGAACTTTTTTTTTCTTTTTTGTCTTTTCTTTTTCCCCTCTTGTTCTTTGTGCTGTGTGACTAGGCCCTTTGTCTCTATCAGTGAGCAGTCGTTATCCGCACGTAATAGAAGATGCCCTCGCTAACCAGTGCTGATCACTATGCTTGGTGTTGTTTGCCTGACCTTGCATTGTTTCGTTTGCCGCTTTCGATTCTGTTGATTGTATGCAGGGTGGCATGCCAGGTGCAGAGAGGCTCAGGGACAGCGAAGTTCTGTCTCAACTCTTGAGGCAGCAGGTGGAGAGTCAGCGTCTGTATGCTGCTATATGTGCAGCCCCTGCTGTTGTGCTCCAACCGAAGGGATTGCTGGAGGGACGGCGGGCGACAGCTCATCCGGCGTTCGTGAACAAGTTGGTAGACCGCTCGGCAGTCGACACACGCGTTGTCAGCGACGGCATCGTTCTTACCAGTCGCGGCCCTGGAACCGCAATGGAATTTGCTCTGGCCCTCGTCGAGCGCCTGTTTGGGTCGGAGCGTGCTGCCCAAGTCGCACGGCCGATGGTGATTTCCAGGTCGGTTCTTCCGATAACTGCTTAGCAATGTCTGTATCTGCTTAGCAATGTCTATTTCGTTCACAGATTGACTGGCTGGTAGCGAATGTTTATAGGTTTTCGGGAGAGGTGGGGGGGGCTTCTTTTCATGACGGTTTTGAACCTTTCACCATTTATGGGAGACAGAGAGATACACTGCCTCCCATGTGTAAAAGATATTCTAGTGATCGATGTCGTGGGCATGAGATTAGCGTCAACTTAGGGTATAGTTTGGCAGCTTGAATGTTGTCTGAGGTATTGGCCAGATTCTTGATATGGGGTATGTCCTGGGCAGTTTGGTAGCAAGGGAAGGTGTTTGTCGCAGTATATAGCCTCCTCCTGACGAGTCGGTGATAACTCCGACTTAACAGTTTGCCACAGCCCCTCGTTTGTTGTCCTCTTCGCCCCCTCTGCCTACGGTTAATTCGGCAGCTCTGTTTGACGATATATTAGGGGAAGTTGTGGTGATTCGAACCCACGTCAACGACAAGGAGAAGTGTAGCAGATGCAAAGACCTAACCGATTACTGACGACCGCGGACTTGTTATTGGCGTGTGTGGATATAAAGAAAGGGAAGATTGGAAAAGTCTATTTTAGTATTTTCCTGTTGGGCTCTTAAAAAGTTTTTCAAGTAAGAAAGATCGAAGCTGTCCGCGGGCCCTTTACTCCCACTGGTAATTGTTTGCTGTCGGCGCCAGGATGGGAGATGATTGATGTGTTCAGGAGGTGTGTGGACTGATTATACTATCGAGCCCGCGTGTGTGATGTTACTCGATCAATCTGGCATGGATTTCTAGTAGACACTAGAAAGGTGTTTGCAACTTTGCATGTGATATGAGTTCATATAACACATGCTCTTCAAGTGTGTCTGGTGCCCTGTTCAAGTATGCTGCAGATGAATTCTGCTGGGCAAGTCCATTCTTTTCATGTAATGCAGTTAAATGAACCAGTGAGAACAGCTGGCATGGATTTCTAGTAGATACTAGAAAGGTGTTTGCAACTTTGCATGTGATTTATGAGCTCATATAACACATGCTGGGACATGGATGTCTCCTGCAAACGCTACTTGATGCACCTGCACGTGCTTTTTTTTTTTTTTTTTCTGTGTGTGTGTGTGTGTGTGTGTGTGTGTGTGTGTGTGCGTCTTTGTGTGGTCTTGTTTGCTGTACTCTACTCCACAGAAATGCACGACTGTGACAGAGTGTTTCGTAGGACTTCACCGACTCATCAGAAGGGGTGTGTGTGTGTGTGTGTGTGTGTGTGTGTGTGTGTTGGACGAAGAATGTGCCTACGGCGACGCTAATCGTGGCGAGCTGTGTTTGAAAGTGCGATCAAAAGGCATACCATCAGGAGGCTGAGTGTTCCGCATCGCATGGAGAAGGCACATACATCCCAATCATGAGACCAACATTACATGTGGATACATCGACCTCTATCTTTCACCAATCCTAGCAAGACCAAAGGACCATGGCCCGAAGGCACTAGGCCACAAGACCATGAAAAGAAAGCACAATCACCAAGGCACACGAAAGCATGGGGCGACACTGCATAACAAAGGCAGAGGCTGGGGGGCAAGCGGGAGGCGGGTGGGTAGACAACACCCAAGCAAACAAAACAGGCAATGCAGAGAAAAAAACCAAGTCGTGAAAACAAGCAAGACTGAAAAAATAAAATTGATGATAAATTGTTTCGTCGGAGTTGCACCGACTCATCAGGAGGCTGAACCCTCCACAATCTGCAGAATCTCCATATTTGGTGGTTTGGGTCATGAACCCTTTGACCCACGTTGAAGGCAGACTGTCCCCAAGCGGAACGTAGCTGTGGGCAGCAACCCTGCGGAGCGCCAGGCAAAGCAGTAGATGCAACACGGCTGCACAAGGCCAAAAAAGGACTGCAAGGAACGTAGCTGTAGATGCAACACGGCTGCGCCAGACACAGGACACGCAGCACGGCAGCAATGCAGTGAAGCACAAGGCAACACCACCAAGGCGACTACACTGCAACTACCAAGGCCCGCAAGCAGCAAACACGGAAGGCACAGCCAGTGGAAGGGCAGCAAGGCAGCGGAGCAGCGAAGTGCAAGGCAACACCAACAACACCGCCACACCACACAACGAACACATCGGCCTGCAAAGAACCATATGCGAAGCAAGCGGGACAGGCAGCAGGGCAGCGGTGGAGCGCAGACGAGACCGTCCACACATCCAGCACGGAGCAAAGCGGAACATGTCCTACTCACATCATGATCGAACCCCTGCAGACTGTTGTTTCCCACCACCCACTGAGCCAGGGTGACACTCCGACGAGCAATCGTCATCACCCACAGGCAACACAGAGACCCCGAACTGATCGCCCCCCCTAAGAGTGCTGTAGGCACTTCAAACCGAGGTCCACCCACCCGTGGAAACTTAAAAACCCTCGCACGCCCATGCAATGTGTGGCTGAACAGGTGGGGAAACCCACAGCAGGGAAACAGAGACAATGAGATGTGATGTGTGCAGTCTGCGATAAGAACAGCAAGGAGGATATGAAGCATTGCTTATTAGAATGCCCCTGAAGCTGGGCAGATCTGAGAGAGGGTCGATAACCTCTTGCCAGCACTAACGACTAAACCGATGCCAGGTGAACCCCTCACGTTGCTAATCGGTTTCTGGGAACCCAAGGGCCTGGGAAAGCACGAGCTCAAGGGACCAGTACATGCCAGCCATCGGCCGCTGGCCGCCGACAAATTTTATCAAAGACTTGCAAGCCTCCGGAGTTTTAGTAGAGGCTCAATCGGACTCTCAACTTGGCCTGGGCCTTGTGCTGGTGGCTGTTCAAGGCTTTAAGCTGTGTTCAGAAGGCTGTGAGTTCTGACTCAGAGTCTACGGACCGAGTGGAAGACTCAGAGAAGGAAACAACGGTTAGGCAGCAAGTGGAAGTGGCTATGGATGAAGCCTGGGAGGGGCTGTTAGAGCTGTTGGGAACCCAGTGCTGGGCAGACCTGAAAAGGTGAAAGCAGACATGAAAAACAACCCTGCTAAGTAGCAAGACATCTAGAATAATTTCCTCAGAATGGGGATTGTAAGAGGGATTTTCACCTTCTCTCGCGGATCGCCATCTTTCTTTCCCGACACCTTTCGTCCTTCTCGGAGATCGCCATCTTTCTTTTCTGATCCCTTTCCTCTTTCTCGCAGTTCGCCATCTTTCTTTTCCGATCCCTTTCCCCCAGAGGGATTTTCACCTTCGCGCGGATCGCCATCTTTCTTTCCTGACACCTTTCGTCCTTCTCGGAGATCGCCATCTTTCTTTTCTGATCCCTTTCCTCTTTCTCGCAGCTCGCCATCTTTCTTTTCCGATCCCTTTCCCCCAATGAGCCTGCTGTGTCATCTTCAGGGACTGGTTCAAACTTCAACCAGGGACTGGTTCAAACTTTGACCAGGGACTGGTTCAAAATTTGACCAGGGACTGGTCCAAACTTTGACCAGGGACTGGTTCAAACATCAACCAGGGACTGGTTCAAAATTTGACCAGGGACTGGTCCAAAATTTGACCAGGGACTGAAGGGACTGGTCCAAACTTTGACCAGGGACTGGTTCAAACTTCGACCAGGAGCTTCTCGCAGATCGCCATGGGTTATATCTGGCAGTTCATCTAGGACTGCAGAGGCTTTCCTCTCTGTGTGCAGTATCCCTCAAAACACTATTACTACGTTGTTGTTGCTACGTTGATGTTCCTACGTTGATTTTCTATGGGACGCTGGACCCGGTTTCCAGCAGGTGCTGCGGTGCAGATAGGAGTGTATGCTTGTACCATCACACTCCTAGCTGCTGCTGCTGCTGCTGCTGGTGTTTTGGTTAAAAAAAAGGGGATAGGAACAGTGGAAGCTGGCAGCCGGAGGTTCAGGTAGAGAATCACAGGGGCGATGCACGCACCGGCAATGCAGAGCAAGGGCAGAATCTCTTTGTCTCTGTCCGTCGGAGACCGAGAGGGTTAGCCTGGCCATTGACGGGGCATCAGTAGACCTGGCTTATGCCTGCGCATCCCCAGAGCGGCAAATGGGAGAGAAGTCTTGCAGGACCACAGGAAGTGAAATGGAAAGGAAAAATAGATCTTGAAAGGATGGGCTATTTGTGATGGATGTTTTGAAGGATGTTTCTCAAAAGGGGCTTACTTGCGAAGCTAGGAAGGGGCCTGACTCCGTGGTGTGGGCGTACTGGCAGTCAATCCTTCCTGAAGGGGGTAATCAATGCTCTGCCAGGGAGGGTTCCCTGGGTCATAATGAGGGGTAGCGTACAGTGCGTGCATTGCTTTTGCTTTTAGGGATGCTGGATCTGCTTTCCAGATCAGCAGCTCCCCGAGAATAGAAAACAGAAAGGTTAAAAAAAAAAGAAAAAAGCCACTCTTAAGATAGAAAAAAGAAAAAGGAGTCTACAGATTCGTCCCAGAATTTCCGACTTCTCTTTCTCTCTTTTTTTTTTTTTTTTTTTTTTTTTTTTTTTTACAAATTACAGCTGCTTCTATTGGTGGGGACCATCACCTGCAACAAGTAGGTGTCCAATATCATACCACAGATTCAAGGAAGGACATGATAGAGGACCTTTAGGTTTCGGGGCCCTGGCGAGTCTGAGACTGTCAGGAAAAGATGGCTGGAAATGGTGAGTATAGCGAGGCTAAATTATTCCTCCCCTTGCAATCGCTTGTCATAGCGGCCCACCAGAAAATGATGTCCGCGGCCCCAGCCAAGTTGAGAATCCCATTGATCCCCTTCGAAAATTTTGGAGTCTCGGGACAGGGCATCTGAAGGACCAGTCGGAAAAAAAAAAAAAAAAAGTCCCATGCGGTGGGGTGGCACTAGGCCCAGCCCTGAAGAAAAAAAACAAATTCCACCTGCCCCCAGGCGGGCCCTGTCCTGAGTCCTTTGACGTTTTTTTTTTGCTTTTTTTTTAGAAAAAGAAAACATTGGCAAGGAGACAGATAGGAGTGCTGATAGAAGCACACACTCCTGCTGGTGGGCAGTGGCACCTGCTGGAACTGCTGGAAACCGCCTCCAGCGTCCCATAGGAAATATATGAAATCCAGTATGAAGTCGCGACAACTTGAAAGGAAAGAGCGACGCCTCTTCAGTCATGGTGGACTGCCCAAAAAATCATACCAACCGAGCAACCCGTCCCTTGGATTGCCCCCCCCTCCAAGCCATACCGTAGCATGTCTGCTAGAGCTTGTTGAGAGGGGGAAATGGGTCTGCAAAGAAAGATGGAGATCTGAGTGAGACCCCTGGTTGAAGCTTGAACCAGTCCTTGAAGGGTTTTTCGGATTCTCCAGTCTTTCCAATTCTCCAGATGTAAAGGTGGTTTAACAGGCCGGTGATTTGGATAAGTCTGTCTCAGACAGGAACTGTAGGAGGCCTTGAAAAGGATGGGGAACGAGAAATCCCGGGCGATAGACGGTGCCACTCCCCGGAGTCCCGATGGGGGAAAGAGAAAGCCGTGGCCATAGATGGCACAAACGGGGGAACAAGAAATTGGCTATCTGGCCAGTTCCAGGGTTAGACCTAATGAACTTCTTTAAACCACAAGTACTTGGCCCAGCTATCGGCCGCTGAAAAAGATAGAGTAGAAATGTTTGTAGTCGGATGAATTTGGGCGCTCCTATAGTAGCCCGCACGTTTCCTAGAATCGCGGCGCGTTAACGGGCACGACTCTAGGAAGTACTGGTTAGCAGGGATTCTGGAGGATTTCGATAATGTGCAGCCCGTAGGGGTGTGTTTTATACGCCTGAGTGCTTTAGACGTTCAATGTCAACGTAGCTGGGGGGGCTTGTTTTGGGGATGGGGGACAGTTGGTCCCAGGTACTTGTGCAGGGTGCCCAAAAAAAGAAACGAAATCAGGGGCCCAAGTCCTATGTGATATGGCGCATGCCGCTCATGCGGACAGGTGTGGAGAATGCATTCTAAATCTGCACGCATTCAGTACCCGATT